TTTGGGCAGACTTTGTTGGTACATTTTGAAATCTACATTTATCACAGACAGTTCCTGTCCCTTTCTCATGATTTCAATTATGATAGTCAATCTGTATTGTCTCTTGATTCACAAAGCCCGGATTCAAACCCTAGTGCCAAACCCAACAGTTGAGCGGCCTCGGATAAGTTGATTAAAACAGAAATAAAAATAACATCTACTTCACTCAGTGGTTGTTAAGAGGACACAGTGCTTGGTATTGTTTTCATTATTGTTAATATCTTGGAGGGCCAGCCCATGAGCTGTTGGTGAAGACAGCTGGATCCCACAGTGCAGACGAAGCAGTTCAAGTTCCAAGCCCATTGGCTTGAGAAACACACTGGGTGTGTGTGTATGTGCATGCTCAAAATCCCAATGGAGGAGAAGGGATAGTGGCATGACCATCCACCATGAGGGGTGCTTTCTCACTATCTCTCTCTCTCTCTCTCTTCAGCAAGTGTGCACATTCTCTGGCAAATTAAAAAAAAAAAGAAAAAAGAATATCTTGGAGGACATGATCTTTCAGTATAATTGCAATTATTTACATAAACAAATAGGGTGCATTGATATTCGTTAACAGTTAGCAAACTCCTCAGAATAGAATGTGTTACGTAAAGTATAGCTAGCTTAATGAGAAGGAATATAAGGATAATGATTTAGTGGCACGATTTTGAGGTTGCTCACTATTGCTCAGTCAAACATAAAGTATTTTATGGCATCATTCAAAGACAAGGAAAATAATTTTTCAATGACTTGTAGGTCTGCAAATACATTATTCCTTCTGCAGTTTTCCATTAGCTTTTGAAGGCATATATAAATAAAAGTGGATTCTATGAGATGTAAATATTGTTACTTTTAATATTTTTTGACACCGAAAGTTCATGCCTCTGCTTCATTATTTGCTCTCCTATTTATCTTTTTGTCCAACTGTTTTCCATCTTGGAACACTGGAAACTTGGCCTTACCTATTTACAGTCCTTTTTCTCCACCAGTTCCAGATACTCAAGGGAAAGTAGGTAGTACACACACCATTTGGAAATTACTTTTCATTATTCAGAGAATTCCAAATATGAGTATTCTTAGGTCTTTCATGCTGTTGCTACTCATGGTAAAAATATTATGTTTCGTTTTCCTCAATACCTCACTCGAGCTTCTAAACTGTATCATGCAAAAAAATATCCAGAGTTCCTTGTCACTTTGTAGGTAAATTTGATTTTCTTCCAAAGCCAAAATCCTCTTTTTATTAAAATCTGTATCAAGGGCCAGCTGATGACGTGTTGGTTAGGATGCTGAACTCCCTCCCACATGTCTTACTGTGGTTCAAGTCCTGAACCTGGTGGCTTGCTTTTTCACTTTTTCTAGCTCTCTCTCTCTCTCTCTCTCTCTCTCTCTCTCTCTCTCTGTCTCTGTTGAGCACACATGCCCTACAGCAAATTAAAAATAATAATAATATGTAAAATTAAATAATAATAATATGTATCAATTTTATCCTGTGTGAAAAAGAAGGTGGGCCAGTCCATGGTGTGCGATTGTGGTGTGGGATTGTGGCATCACCATTCCCCATGGGGGACTGCTTTCTCACCTTCCCTCTCTTTTTCCTAGTTCCCTTCATGCAGGAAACTCTGACAATCTCAACATTTCAAGTGTACAAACTTTGACCCTGCAATTCTCTCCAGAAAAAGCACATTGAAGTGGAAATAGATCTAAAATGTATTAAGTGGAAAAAAGCAAAGCACAGAATAGTAATAACGCATGATCCGATCTACAGGGAAATGAATAGATAATACTAACATGTGCTTCCATTTTAAAACTTTGAAAGAAACCTAAGAAACTTGAGAAACCTCTATTACTTTTATACAACAATAGAAAAACTATGAGCAAGATTATTTCACCAAGAACGTCATGAAACATTTTTGAATAGAAAAACACAGAGAAATATCTCACAACTTTCCTGATGACCTAATAATTTCATATGTAATTATCATCACGTCTTCATGGTATTTGTTTGATTCCTGGTCTTGGTAACAGAGTTCCTCTGTCATCAAACTTGACTGCATTTATCACAAGAAGAAAAAGCCCTCTGAAGGGCCCTTCACACCAAGCTCAAGGACAAGCACAGGAAAGACTCAATGGGCCACTCTGGAAGCTGTACTTCTTGAGTGTACTTTACAGCTCGTGTTGCCTCTTCTACTGCCTTTTAAAAGGAGGAACCAGTAGGACAGGGAGGCAAGAGCTCCTCTAGGGAGAGCGGCCGGGCTCAGCTCCAAACACCCCTACCAGCCCCTTTCATATATGCATGGGGCCTTAGGGGAAGAGAAGAGAAAGAGATGCTGAACACGTCCTTGATACTATTACTGCTTCAGGCAGAGTTGAGGAAGAAGAGAAAAGAACTGGTTCCCCTGTTACCTGCAGATACCTCTATAGGTCAACCCAATTCAGTAGTGTAAAGTCTCACTCTTCCCATTAAGGGAAACTGAGGCATGCATTCCCATTCAGATGCTCAGGAAGGGCAGCCAAGGTAGGCTGCTCTTGGCAGCAGAATGCACTATGAGATGCGTTCAGCATTACCTGTGAAGGAGGGGATTTCACTGGGGACATGGGAAGCCAGAGACAGCATGGTGCTTGGCCACTAGTAGAATGTTACACTTTAACAGCCACTGCAGTCTTCTTGGTCCTGCCCGTCCCAGGCCCCAAGAACCAGAGGCAACTGTCAGCCCTTCTACCCTGTGACCCCCACCTCTAACCCCTCAAAGGCATTCAAGTTACATCAGAATAAAAGGAGCACATCTAATGGTTATCACCTTGTGCTAAAATTTGTTGGGGGAGAGAACTAGTAATTAATTAGCAAAAATAAAAAACCTAGATAATGACAGATAATCCCCACAGGCCCTACACTCCACCACGCACGCTGGTGCTTTTCTTCAGATCCGAGCCTGGAATTCTAAGTCTCCTTTATTCTTTTTGATTACTATGAGGTAAAAAAAGAAACATGTGCTGTAAAATTATTATTTTATTTTATTTTATTTTTTAAGTGGAAAATCACCTCTTAGATTGGGCCACACCACAATCCCTTCTCCTCCATTCTCCTCTCAGAATTCTGGGCCTGCATGCACATGTGCCCATGGCATTTTCCAAGCCATCAGGTCAGGTCTGGGACTGGAACTGTACAGTTGGCCTTGTGGGATCCAGCCACCATAACCTATGTGCCATCTGTTGGCCTGGTGTGTGCTGAATATTTAATACAGATGCATCTACTCAGAGACAACTGATGACTACTAAAGTCAGGAAGCATAGATTGCAGGCTGGCCTAGTAACTAAATTCCATATGGTTGATCACAAATTAAGGTGGCCAAGGCAGCTTGAAAAACACACTGGGTGCATGAGCATGTATGTCCAAAATTCCAACAGGATGGAGAAACAGTGGAGAAGGGATTGCAGTGTGATGACTCCCCATTGCGGAAGGTGCTTTCTCCCCCACCCCTCCTCTCTCTCTGTCTTTCTCTCTCTCTCTCTCTCTCTCTCTCTCTCTCTCTCTCTGGCAAGCACACCTGCACAATGGGAGTTAAAAGGGAAACCTAGGTTGCATTTTTTGGAAAACAATATTGCTCTGTATTTTATACAGTACTCTAATACTACTTCTGAAAGGAAGAAAAGAGGAAAACACAGGATCCTATTTTTCTCTTATAGTCTTTGCCTTTTTAATACTCAGGTGTCCCCATCACAACGACTTTGAATTTAGAGTCATGAGGAGTAGTTTCAAGCCTTTTCACAAAAAGCATACCTCATGTGGCAGGTAGATCCATGACTATCTGATGAATATGCACAGTTTAAGAAGCCTTAAATGGAAAATAATAATAATTTAGGCCTCACTAATTCAGAATTACCAGTAATGTAAAATACCCTTAAACTTCAGTCTCAACAACGGAAAAGATTAGAGATGGACCATTTAAGCTGTTTAAGACAATAAACGGCACACTCTTCAACAGCATTGTCTTGCATGTAATTTGTACTACTAAGGTAATCATTAGAAATGAGGCTTATCTGCTTATCAAGCAGGTCCACCGAGATTAGCTGTAATTAGGAACTAGGGATAATAAATGTTGCTAAAATACCTGTCCTTCACTTCAAATAGCTCGGCCATCACCCTTTCCTTTCTTTCAAGCTCGCAGTAATTATTCATTTTTACTATGCAGCACAATGAGCTGTCAGGCAGTGCTGAACAGGGCTGGCCCCTGGTGCAGCAGTTAAGTGCTGTGTGTAGAGCCAGATCCCACATGGCTGACCAGTTCGAATCCTGGCACAGCTTGAAAACCTCACCAGGCATGTGTGCATGCATGCCCCAAATCCTGATGGGATAGGGAAATGGAGGAAAAAAGGATTACAGAGTGACCTCCCTCAGTTGGGGGTGCTTTCTCTCCCTTTCTCTTTCCATCTCTCTTTCTCTCTCTCTCTGGCAAGTGTATGCAACCTCTGGCAATTAAGAAAAAAACAAAAACCAAAAAACGAGGTGCTTACAGAACCAGCCTCTATGGCACAACCAGTAGCACGCTGGCACACTGGAAAGAAGAGTTGGGAGCCACATGCCAGCCAAGGCTCAAGACCTTGGTCCATTAGCCAGAAACCATGCAGGGAATGTGTGCACAGGCCCAGGATCTCGTCTTGCTGGAGCACTGGGAGAAGAGGATTACGGAATAACTGCCCTGTGGAAGGTGCTTCTCTCTCACCCCAACACCACCCCTTGCTGTTTCTCTCCCTCCCTATGTATCTCTAATCTCTTGCACACATGACTAAGCATGTGATCACTCATTAATGTGTTTCTCATACTAGATGCTAGTGAGATCCAAGAACAGGGGCCATGTCTGCCTTGCTCACAGTTTGAGCCCTGTGATGAGCATGTATCAGTGCTTCATAAGTAGTATTTGATGAAGTGAATAGCCCAAGCGTGACCCTACCCCTATCCTGGGGGAAAAAAAGGTGCTTACCTCTGAGTCTTTGGCCTGCTGATTGCGAATGACGATCAGATTGTATAGGATCCTGTCGTCATCTGCCTCTGTGTGGGACACGTCGTGGGGCAGACTCCAAAGATTCTTCTCATCGTCCCTCACCAGAGTTGCTCCAAATGAGGAATATAGAGTGTTCTCACTGGGGTATAAAGAAAAAGAAGATGATAAGCATTTTGAGAAGCATTACATGTATGCAGCATGAAATAGAAAATTCCAATATATATGATATAATTATAATATAATATAGAAATATATACATAGTAAAAACAAACATTTCTGAATTATCTTTATCCATTAAGTATAAAGCAATAAAACAATCGAAACAAACCAGAAAAATTGATAAATCATTTTTGAAATAGCAGAGAACAGATGTAACCACACACCTAGGCAGAGATCATTACTACAGTTAAATAGGAAATGTAGCACTGACTATCCCAGTAGTTAAGACAAGAAAAGAAATCCAGTAAGGAATAAAAATCTTGGATTAAAACAAAAGAAACAGTTAACATGAAGAGATGGTCTTTTGATGCCTCTGAATTCAAGGAAGCACAGTAAAATTAGAGTACAATGATACATCAAATCTATCGAATTTCTTAAAGAAAATTAAGGAGTAAATATGCACATACAAATACTATGGCTTCAGTAACCAACCTGGGATATTGACTAAGCATCTCCACAGCCAGTTTTACACATTGTTGGCCTTATGATTTAAGGCCTCACAAGGTAGTACCCGTGTTTGGGCTTACAGAGGAAATGAGTGACGGAGCGTCACATCTGGGACATGCCTGTACTTGGCCCTAGTGACATTCTGTGGGAGAGGACAGGTAGGGTCACGCCAGGGCTATTCACTTCATCTAATAATACCTATGAAGCACTGATACATGCTAACCACAGGGCTCAGTCAAACTGTGAGCAAAACAGACATGGTCCCCATTCTTGGACCTCACAGAGTCTAGTATGAGAAATACATTAATGAATGCTCATATGACTCTGTAATTATGAACTGTAGTAAGTGCTATAAAGGGATAGTTCAGGAAGCCAGGAGAACCGATGCCAGCAGAACATCCCAGTGGAGGTGGGTATCAGGTAGGTGTCGTCAAGAAGGGGTGCTTGAACTTTACGTTGAAAGATAAAAACAGAATTGCAGGCAAAGGAAACGGCATGTTCAAAGGACCAGGTGGTAGTGAAGAGAGGGAAATGCACTGAAAGGAAGGAGGCTTTGGCAGGAGAATGAATGGGAAGCTGGGAGGTGGTTTGGGCGAGTTACTCTTGGCTTTGTAGGCCATGTCTTCTAACGTTCTTCTGTGCTGGTCTTTATTCCTGAAAGCAAGGCAATACTTGGAGGGTTAAAATCCTTAAAGCAGAACTGTTGGTCTGACCCTAACAGTATTATATCTTTAAAAGCATTATACCTGGGGGCCAGCAGTTGGCGTAATGGCTATGTCTCTGGACTTTCATGAAGTTGACTACAGTTAGAGTCCCGGACCTGGTGGCTTAAACTCACGCCGGGCATGTGTGTCTGAATACCCAAGATCCTGAGAGGAGAATGGAGGAGAAGGGATTGCAGCATGGCCATCCCTCCTGGGGGGTGATTTCTTGCTTTCTGTCTCTCTGTCTCTCTCTGTCTTTCTGGCGAGCACATATGCCCTATAGCAAAAACCTCTCCAAAAAAAAAAAAAAGCATTACATCTGTCTCAAGTGTAATTACATCTGTCTCAAGTGTAGAGCTGGCCTTTGGATTCAGGAGATTGATTAAGATGAGATTGAGGGAACCAGCAGTTGGCATAATGGCTATGTCGCTGGACTCCCACATAGTCAACAGCGGTTCGCGTCCCGGACCCGGTGGCTTAGAACTCACGCCGGGCACGTGTGCATGTGTGCCCAAGATCCCGAGAGGAGAATGGAGGAGAAGGGATTGCGGTGTGACCATCCCCTCTGGGGGGGGGGGTGATTTCTCGCTTTCTGTCTCTATGTCTCTCTCTGTCTGTCTGGCGAGCACACGCACCCTATAGCAAAAACCTCTCCAAAAAAAAAAAACAAGATGAGATTGAGGTAACTGAAGTGAGAAACAGTAGGTATAAGGATTAGAATGATTGGCCCAGCTGAAGAGAAGAGCACTAGGCAGGATGATGTAAGGTAAAATTAAGGAGATGAACTCACTAGAGTTGGAGGGGACAGTAAGGAGGCGAGGAGGAGTGATGGGGCATCAAAGGCCACGCCATCGCTGCTGTTCACCTAGATGGTGAGTGATGCTGATCTCTGAGGCAGACCTAGACTGCTGAACACATCTGCAGGTGTCACATGAGCAAATAGCAAAGAAGGACAGGCAGAAGACACCCAGTAAGCAGACAACTCTAGGGAAGGGAGGGTAAGAGTGACAGGTAGGCTGAAGGGAAATACTAAGATGTCAACAAAGGGGAGAAACATAGAAGCTGCCACTAAGGAAATCTCAGAACAGGAGACAAAGTTCCAACCACCGGATTAGGGCTCAGCACAAGAACCTGCTCTGCAAGGGAGGGGCTCCTATGCTAGCGTGATGGGGTACAGGTCAGGATGCCAATCAAAGTGTCAGACTTAGAAAGACAACCAGGGCTGACTTATGTAAACTGGGTGGGCAAAAAGGTGGGGACAGACACAGATCAACCACTCTCCTCTCAGAGTGGCCCTGTTTTCACCTAGGCTGACTGACCCAGAGAGCTCCACAGCTTGGCTGTCATTAAGAATATGAGCCATTGGGACCAGCAGTTGGTGTAATAGCTATGTCACTGGACTCCCATGTAGTCAACTGCAGTTTGAGTCCGAGTCCTGGACCCGGTGGCTTAAACTCACGCCAGATGTGTGTGCATGCATGCCCAAAATCCCGAGAGGAGAATGGAGGGGAAGGGATTACGGAGTGGCCATTCCCCCTGGGGGTGGTGATTTCTCACTTTCTGTCTCTCTGTCTCTCTCTGTCTTTCTGGCAAACACACATAGCAAAAACCTCCCCCCCCCGCCCCCCGCCAAAAAAAAGAATATGAGCCATTGACAGGACCAGCAGATGGCGTAATGGATACATCACTGGACTCTTGTGTAGTTGATCACAGGTCGAGTTCTGGACCCGGTGGCTTGAAACTCATGCCAGGCAGGTGTGCGTGCATGCCCAAAATCCCAAGAGGAAAATGGAAGAGAAGGGATTGTGGCATGGCCATCCTCCCTGGGGGGTGATTTCTTGCTTTCTGTCTCTCTGTCTCTGTCCTTCTGGTGAGTGCACATGCCCTATAGCAAAAACACTCTCAAAATATTTAATAAAACACATAAGAATATGAGCCATTGGGGGCTGGCAGGTGGCATGGTGGTTAAGGACACTGGACTCCCCCATGATTGACCACGGTTTGAGTCCTGGACCTGGTGGCTTGCTTTTGCACACTCTCTCTCTCTCTCTCATCAAATTAAATAATAATAATAATGATAATAATAAAGTAAATAAATAAATAAAGTTAAATAAATTTTTTTAAAAAGAAAGAATATCAGCCATTGATGGGGTCAGACAGTGGCACAGTGGTAAAACGCAACACTCTGTGAGGGTGACCCACACGGGAAGGTTGCCAGCTTACATCCAGAGACCTCCCTAAGCACAGCAGGCCCATGTGTGCCCATAATCCAGGCTGGCTGAGGCTGGGCATGAATAGCAGACTCGAAACCCTGCCGAGGGTGCTATTTCTCTGTCTCTCCCTCTCTGGATCTTTCCTTCTTTGTCTCACTCATTCACAGAAGAAATGAATAAATAAACTTTAAAAAAAAAAAAGGATAAGCCGGTGAAAAGTGAGACAAATGATATTTTGGTGCTCTGTTCATGCACACTCATGTCGAATTCATTCATGCATTCACTCGTGCATTCATTCTGTTGCCTATCTGTTTAACAACCATGGAATGAAAGCCTGTTGTATATTGGATACTGGCTAGGTGCTTTGGGCACATAAAAATAAATAGGACGTGATTTCTGCCTTTAACATGACTATAATGCCACAAGATTAGTGGAGTTTTATAAAAACTTACACAGAATGTTGCAGGAGCAGAAAGGGGTGATGCATCGTGTATGAAGAAAAGGAAGTTTGAAAAAAGTGTCATGGATGCGACACCACCTACACAAACCCAGGAATGTGCAGTCTTTCACCAGCAAGAAAAGCCAAGACGAGGGTATTCCTGGGAGAAGGAACCGCTGAGTGCATGGAGGCTTCAAGGCCCGCAAGGTCAGGGAATTTCAAGCATTCCTGTGGTGCAAGAAGCAAGGGACATGAAAGAAAGGTAATTTGGAGTCACACTGAAGATGGTGCAGGAGTGCAAGCTTCATCCTGTGAACTGTGTCAGGTTATCAAAGGAACTTTGAACATTGGCAGGTCTGCCTTGTTAGAGAAACTACTCCAGATGAAGAAGGAGCAAGATGGCTCAGGAGGCTGACGTCACCGACAGGCACACGCGAGTCGGTGCAGCTTCAGGCTGTGCTTTCTGAGGCTCTGGTGTCAGGGACTAAAGGACCAGAGATGTGCAGGGCTGTCCTAGCAGAAACAGGAGGAAGTCCACAAGCCAAGCACAGCAGAGCAGCTGCCCTGTGCAATTCTTCTTGGTTAGAGTAACAGGAAGTTTTTTGTTTTTTGTTTTGTTTTGTTTTGTTTTGTTTTGTTTTGTTTTGTTTTGTTTTGTTTTGAGGCGTAGGAAAGGTCAGGTTCTATCGCTACACAAATAAGTACATGATTTTAAATGTTTCAAAATAGTGATTGAGATGAAAGTGAATAGTTGTTAAGGAAAAAAACAAACGGAAATGAGAGGACAGATTCCAGCAGCACCTGCGAGGGGGATGATGGCAGCCCCGGTGAACCACACAGAGGTGCCAGCAAGAGGAATTGAAGGTAATGCTTTTAACGGAGGCATGTAGGGTGGAAACCAAGGTTGTGAGCCTGCAGGACATTCAGAGAGATGTCCAGAAAAGAGCTGTATGCAGAAAGAGCTGAGCTTAGGGGCAAGGATGGAGCAGAGGTCTAGATACAGAAGAAATGCACATGCATTTCACACCACTGCAGAAGCCTTGGAAACATGGAAACATCTGAAAGCAGGGAGTGCGGAAAGACCTTGGGGGAATAGGAGACTGGAGGGAACAGGTGACAGCCAAAGAAAAGGGACCACTGAGGCAAGGAGGAATCCCAAAGGGCAGGTAGACACCATGGTGGTGGCAATAACAGGAAGGACACAGACTTCGATCACGTCTTGCTTAAGAGCTCTTGTGGCCAAGGACGAGCCACCAAAGACTTATATATTCAGTGCTCAAAGCAAGGGCTCCCGCATTCCATCTCTCGTGTGGCATATCCATGTAAGGTAGGAAGGGTGGGCGCTATTACTCCACTTTGCGAACAGGGATAATTGTACTGAGTTGCTTGACTTCTCCGGAGTCAGGCAGCCAGCTGACAGTCCTCCCAGTGCAAGGTCCATCATGGGGAGTCTCTGAGTGGTCATGTGTCATATGTCTCAGTATTCAAATGCTGTGACTGAGAAATGCCCACAAACAGAGCAGCTCAAATCACAGCTACGTATGTGGATGCTCCCTGTACAGACCACCAAATTCCCCTGGGGCTTCTCCCAGGGACCTGCCCTGAGTCATTCAGACCCAACTTTTTGCAGAAACTTCAACCACAGCTGCTGACATCATAGTCAACACACAGCTAGTACTTTCCTGAAACTGGTGTTTCATATCTCCCCAAATTGGTTTCATTTTTTTATGTCTTGTATCCAATATTTAGACACCCAATTTTACCTAGCAGGGCAGTTGCTTTAGAAGTTCTTGTTGACTGGAACAGACTGAGCTGGGATCCCAATCTGCTAAAGGAAATGGCAGGCATGACCCATCCTTACCACCTTGTTATAATTCCCTAAAGCAGGAAGCTTAGAAATTAGCCAGTCCCCACCGAGTGATCAGAGGAAATAACATCTGAACAAGAATAATCCTTTTGCCTTACTACACCACAATTCCTCTTCCTGTTTTGAGACGATCAGAACTGCCTCCAGGATCAGTCCCCTGACTCTCAGAAGCTCCGTCTCTATCTCTCTCTCTCCACTCTCTAGCTGCCTCTGTAGCTCTCTCTTCTCTCTGTGTGTGTTCTCTCCCTCTCTGTGTCACACACACACACACACACACACACACACACACACACACACATTCCAGCTCTTATAAAACACTACCCACTCAACCTACAAACCCGAGTGAGGCTCTGTGGCCTGTTTAGAAGTGCTCTTGTCGGGGCCGGCAGTTGGTGGCATGATGGTTAAAGGCACTGGACTCTCCCATATGGCTGACCACAGTTCAAGACCTGGACCTAGTAGCTTGCTTGCTCTCTCTCTCTCTCTCTCTGTGTGTGTGTGTGTGTGTGTGTGTGTGTGTGTATGTGTGTGTGTGTGTCTGATCAAACTGGAAAATAATAACAACAAATAAAGCTTTAAAAAAAAGTGCTCTTGTCTCCAGATAGCAAAGTGCCTCTGGAGTTGGCCACAGCTGGCCCTGTCTAGTGAGGGGGCATCCCCCTGGTGTCACCTGATGAACCTCTGACTGTGCTTAGCCACTGATACTCGGGGGACGATTAGAAACAGGGAAGAGAATCAACCACTTCTGTCCCTGGATAAGCAATGACTCACCAGTAGTGAAATTCACATAATACGAAATTAACCAATTTTAACTGTAAGTCCATTGCATCTGGTACATTAATAGGGTTAGGTCACCATGTTCTACCGCCTTGGACCTGGGCTCCTCATCACTACAGAGCGGTCCTTCTCCTCTGCCCATCACCTCCCTCCTCCTGGACCTTGTTCTCACCACAGTCTTCATGGCAGTAGTTACAAGCCAGGTTTCTTCAGGGCATAGGAAAGCTGGAGTTCTACCGTCACATAAATAATTAATCTAATAACTCATTTCAAAATACAGATCAAGGTGAAAATGAACTAGTTTGTGTGCTCATTCAGAAGTTTCAGAAGTGTCTGTCAGACCCTGCCTGGTACACCAGAGCCTAGGATCTGCATTGTGTCTGTGCCCCTGCTCCTTCCATCCTGCACCACCACCCAGCCCAGGTGTCAATGCCCTTCATGTGAAACTTTGAACTCGAGGGCAGAGAGGCGAGAACAGAGAAAAGCTGAAAGCAAACAGCCTAAGGAGAAGCAGCTTGGGTGTGAATCCCAGGCAATCTAGGGTTCTGGGGTGCCTGTAAGAGAATTCAGTGCAAGGGTCCTGAGGTCTGGGCCCAGGAAGCCCTGAGAGGAGGGGTAGGAGGAAAAGGGCTGCAGGGTAGGCGTTTCCCTTTCTTTTCCTCCCCCATGTAATAATTTTAAATGTTCTAAGGAAAGTGAGAGGGGCTGTTTCGCCCCTGGTCACCATCTGCTAATGATAAATATTTTATTAACTTCAGGCATTGGAGAGCCTGCTCTGATGTTACTAAGCTCAAATTTCACCCATAATCCCACCAAGGGGCACAAAACCCAGGGGATAGTCTTCTTTTAGCGTGACCTAGAGAGAAAAGGAGACTTGAGGTTTGGAAATACGAAGCTTCTGTCTGGGGACGTGGTTGCAAAGTGCTAGCATTAGAGCTATTTCCCAAAAACTCCCCATGAGTCCTCACCCCTGACAGAGGCTGTGTGTAAAAGATGCTGGAAGGCCCCGCAAAATCCCATGTACACAGGCTTGCTGCCCATTCTGCGACTTTTCTTCTCTCCCCATGGCCCGTCTGTCAGGGATCATTGGTTTAAGAGTGAAGCTCTGTAAATGGTGGAGCAATAAAATCACTGATAAACAGTCGACAAGGTCTAGAAAAAACAGACTTCAAGGGGTTCTCTAGCTGGCTAGCCTGTTGGCCCACTGGCTTCAAGACTTTCCCTCCTTCTCTCTATTGAATCTCTCTATGAAGGAGCAGGTAAATCTATGATCCTTTCTCTCTCCACCCTTTTTTTCTTTCTCTCCTCCTTTTTTCCCTTCCTCCCTCCTTCCTTCCCAACTTGCAACCTTCCACCCTTCCTTCATCTCTCCTCTCTCTCTCCATCTCTGCTTCTCTCTCTCCCCCTCCTCTTTCTTCCTCTTTCTCTCTCTCTCCTCTCTTTCTCTTCCTCTCCACTTTCTCTCCTCTCTCTCTCTCTCTCTCTCTCCCCACCTCTCCTCATTATCTCCCTCTCTCTTACTCCTCCCCTCTTATTCGCTTCCCTTTCGGTCCTCTCTGTCCTTTCTTCCCTCATTCTTTTGTTCCTTCTCTTTTACCGCATCCAGGACAGTTCCCAGGGCTCTGAATGACAGCGTTAAGGCTAGCATCTGTGTCTTCCGGCTCACAGACAAACTCTTAACCTTCTTAGCTATTTACATTTATGAAGGTCAGGTTACAGTCTTGTGGGAGGCAGCAGATGATAAGCACTTACGTTTCTGTCAGATGATCATCAGGACCATGAAGAAATACACTCTGTGAATAAGAGAGAGTGAGGGGGTGGGACACTGTTATAAAGAGAATAGTTGAGAATTTTCTGACAAAACGACTTTGAACAGAGATCTAAATAAAGTGAGAGAGTTAGCCAGCAGGTAACTAGTGGAAGAATATTCTAGGTGGGGGAGGAAGAGCAACAGCCCCCATACAGGGCTATGTTTGGTACATCTGAGGAACAAGAAGGGGGTCAGGATGGCTGAAGGATAAAAAATTTCAACTTACGTGCTGACTTTAAAATCTAAACCATGTTTGGGGCCGGTGGCATGGTGGCTAAGGTGCTGGACTCCCACATGGCTGACCATGGGTTAAGTCCTGAATCTGGCAGCTTGCTTTCTCACTTTCTCTCTCCCTCTCTCTCTGTCTCTCTCTGGTCAAATTAAAAACTAATAAATAAAATGAAGTAGAATAATTCTTTAAAAAAAAAAAAGTCTAAACCATACTTAATAGCCCTAATTGGGAACCACCCTCAGGCCACCAATTATAGAATGGCTAAACAAAGTGAAATATCCCAAAAGCAAGTAACAACCATGAGCCCAGCTACATAAAACAACTTGGATGAATCTCACAAAGTCGAGCAAAGTTAAGTCGCATGGGAACACACACAGTTCAATTCCATTTATGCAAAGTTTAAAGACAGGCAAGATTAAAGTCCATACGTAAGGAGTAACTACAAGGGGTGAAGCTATAAAGAACAACAAAGAAATGACACAAAAGTCCTGATATGATCAGAGGAGATACAGGGCTGACAATAGCTAACACTCGCCCTGGGTGACAGTTACAGGAGCAGGCACGTTCTAGCTATTCTTTCTATTGTACATATTTTTGTCATATTTTTGGTCTGTGATATACATACGAACACACTCCTTTTTTTTTTTTTTTTTGGAGAGGTTTTTGCTATAGGGTGCATGCACTTGCCAGAAAGACAGAGAGAGACAGAGAGACAGAAAGTGAGAAATCACCCCCCGAGGGGATGGCCACGCCACAATCCTTTCTCCTCCAGGATCTTGGGCACACACCCACACGTGCCCAGAAAACACACTTTTTTTTTTTTAAATGACTTGAGTAAAAGGCCATCCAGAATACTGTCAAAGAGTATAGGGTTCTTTAGATATACTATCTTTGAATACACAGTGCCCCATCAAAATTATTTCCTGAAAGGGTACGAATAAAGTCCATGGTTTATAACTGGCAGAAAACAAATACTTATTACCCAAACTAAAAAGGACATCAGTCGCTATTTTACCAGACATTTAAGCAGAATTTATGTTTTCTTATAAGTTTATTTATTTCTTCTATGAGCAAGAGAAAGATAGAACTTTCGAGAGAGTCCTGAAACAGCAGTCCTCCTCCAGCCTCAGTCAGCACCAGATCACAGGCATGCCTAACCTGGAGGGCTGTATACTCAGTGGTGCCAGAGCTTGAACCAGGAACCTTCCCCGGTGGGATAGCCTCGCAGGGCATTGCCTTTTACTGCTGTGCCACCTTTTGGCTCTAGAATTTATTTTGGAAACAAAGGTATAGTGATGCAATCGCTTGAAGATAGTCCAAAAAATAAAAAGTTCCAGGAAACCTGGATCACATGACGTGTGAGATAATGGAATGTCATCTTCTATGTAACTTCCAGGGTTCTAAGACCAATTCAAGTCACAAAAAGATAAAAAGGGATTCTGTGAGTTGCCTGGGAAGAAAACCTTTAAAAGTCATTCTTATGAATGTTGAAAGGCTGACTTCTTATACAACCTTTACCTCCTACTCCCTGGACCTGAGGCCTTATCCCAGGAAGTCCCCATGAACCTCCCTTATTCTCTCTCTCCTCTGTTTCTCTCTGTCTTTCAAGAAGGTTGAAGTGTCTACCTGAAAATGGGATTCTTCAAGTCAGGGGCACCTTCCCCAGTAGGAGTCCTTGATACATTTGCAAGTACTTCCTATGAGTCATGGTCTGGCCCCAGGGCTTCTGGCTTTGTAAACTGCGTATTTCTGCAGGAAACCAAAGATGAGGTGTGGTGCTTCAACTCCTCCCCATCTGCTCAGAGATCTGGCTCTGAGAAACCCACAGCATGTGGTAGGGGAAAAGTCAGACCATCTGGACCTACGTCTGAGAGATCTCAGTGGCACTAATATACTCGCCAACATTTTTTTAAAGCCTTGCAAGGGTAGAAGATGATTTAAGACATGTGAGTCCACACTATAAAACGAAACCCTCCAAATGTAATAGGTTCTGGTACTTCTAGAGTTGGCAGTGATTCCCTTTTAAATGTCTTGAGCCTCCCTCACTTCCACTCCCCCTCTTTCCCACGGATATCTGGTTATGCTAGCTGCATAGAGGAAAATGGACACAGTGTTTCTGGACCCAGGGTTCTCAACAATTCAGGGAAAGTCTCATACATTAAAAACAATTTCTAGTGCACACCATAGCGACAACTAGTTACACACCCCCTCCTGCATACTACAAGGGTTCTGCTCTTTCTGTGGCATTGAAATATAATAGGATATGAATTCCAGTCCACCATATATGTCTGAGCAAGTTACTCAAGCTCCCTGTGGCTCGGTTTCTTCAACTGTCAAAAGGGAAATATAGAAATACAGTCAGTCCTCAGTATTCACCGATTCTGTATTCGGAAATCCTCCCACTTATGAAAATTTATCAATGCTGCTGATGTTCTTGAGGTCATCTGTGGCTATACGCAAGGGGGTAAAAAATGCAGAGTTGCTAGAGGAGTATATTCCCGGGGAGGTGAAATGCAATTTTCTGCTTTCGCGTACTCATATTAGAAACAACTGTCCTTTTTTCGTGGTCTCTTTAGTGACACTTTTTAAGAATTATTTTTTTACTTTTTGTTGATTTTGTTGTTTAGAACATCCTCCGAAAGCAGTACTTCAGTACTCAAATTTGCTAGATAACTCATTCAGATATAAAATGCAGTACTGTCAGCAGTGAGTTCAATGTTAATTAATCAACAATATATACACTAAATAAGGTGTCTTGGGGCCGGCAGTTAGCATAATGGCTATGTCGCTGGACTCCCACATAGTCGCCCGCGGTTTGAGTCCCGGACCCCAGTGGCTTAAACTCACGCCAGGCGCGTGTGCGTGCGTGCCCAAGATCCTGAGAGGAGAATGGAGGAGAAGGGATTGCGGTGTGACCAACCCCCCTGGGGGGTGATTTCTCACTTTCTGTCTCTCTGTCTCTGTCTGTCTGGAGAGCGCACGCGCCCTCTAGCAAAAACCTCTCAAAAATAAATAAATAAATAAGGTGTCTTTAAGCAGAAATACATAATACGAGGTCATGTATTAATCATTTTATGGGAATCTAATCCTGCAATCAACCCTCAGGAACCTATCCCTGCATTTCCCCTGGGCCCAATGGTTCAGTAGTCACTAATTCCACCTTCAAGGTGACTTTATTGAACAGAACTACCCTAAATAACAGAAACCAGCTGCACCTCCTAGGGTTATGGTGATTTTATGGTGTCATGGTGTTAACAGATAAATAGTGCCTGACACACAGGAAGCACGAAGTCCAAGGAGAGCAAGGGCAGAGAAGGTAAATTGCTAGAGACTCTTTGTTCCTCAACTGAACTCTGCATCCTGATGTCCAGTGACACAAACTAAACCATTTCATTGTGGGCAATTCAGGAATATTCACTTTTGTTTTGGATTTGGCCCATATCAAGAGTCCTTGATCAATTCCTTCTTAGAATAACCCCTTGTGTGAGTACAAAACAATCATCCAGAACAAACTGAAATCTGAATTTATTTTTTCTTAATGAAAATTCCAGGTATTGGAGAATAATAAAACACTGACATCTGTTCTCCATTTTTTGCCCACAGATATGAGTACAATTCTGTCATTATGAATGAAAACTGCACATAGGCATTGAGATGAACAAGGAGCAAAACAGATATAGAAGACAGGTAGTCCAATGGCTAAGAGAGTTGGAATCCCACATGGCTGACAGCAGTTTGGATCCCAGCCCCTGTGACTTGAAAAACTCACCAGATGCATGTGTATGTGTGCCCAAAATCCCAATGGAATGGAGATATAGAGGAGAAGGATTGTGGTATGGCACCCCATTTGGAGGGTGCTTATTGTCTCTCTCTCTCTCTCTCTTTCTCTCTCTCTCTCTCCCTCTCACTCTATCTTTTTGTCTTTCCATCTTTCCCTCTGCATGTGCCCTCTGGCAATTAAAAAAAAGAAAACATGTAGAAGCTCATTATATGGCCCACTTAGATGGCTTATGAGAGAGCCAGAAATGACTAAGAAGTTAACTACAGTTATTAATTCTCTCCATTTCTTTTGATCACCTGGACAGTCAGAATGATATTCATCAGTTATTAATAGCCAATAAAAATTAGAGAATAAGAACTACACTTTCCTGAAAAAGTTCAAAGTAACCCTCTAGAGCATGTGACATTTACCCTGCAGCCAGTTCTTTCACACTCTATCTGGGTCTCTTCCAGAGAAGACGTCTGCACTGGATGTTACATGACAGTAGACACGATGGTGCTGAAGTATTTGGGCAACTCTGCTTAAAAACAGCACAGCTCTCCCTCCAGGACTACAAGTCATGCTCAGGTAGATTTTTTTTTTTTTTTCAAGGCAAGAGCATGCTTGATCACTGATAGAAAAAAGCCATGCTACAAAAGTGAAATAAACCCAAAGCTCTAAGCTTATGTATTTTTCCAAAAATATTCTGTAATATGTTGAATAGTATTCCTCCCCCTGCCCCCCAAAATATTTCCAAATCTTAATAACTAGTACCTATGACTGTGACCTTATTTGGAAAAAAAAAAAGGCTTTGCAGGTATAATTAAGTTGAGGTTTCTGAGATGAGATCATCTTGGATTTTAGGGTGGATCCTAAATCCAATGACTGGTGTCTGCATAAGAGAAAGGGGGAGAGAACACAGAGGAAAGACACATGGAGAAGACAAAGCAAAGATTGAAGTTGCACTGCCACAAGCCAAGGAGCACCAGGAGCC